TGATTTTTATGCAATAAGCAACAATTTTGTCTTAGTCTCACTACTTGCCTTTACAAGCAGTTAAATACATGTAAAGAGTGTTACTTTTCAAGGATATTAACAAATATAAATAACAAAATACCCTGCCTTAATCTTTAAAACAGAAACGAACAAAAATACCATCAATTCCAAGTTTGATTTAAAACAGTTTTTATGAGATCGTTTACTACAATAAAGTGACAAATAAAAATAGTAACATTAAATATTTGGTATAATTGTTTTTGTACTGTGCATTGTGATTCAATATGAATGTAACAAATGATACGAATTATGTGCCTTGACCTACAGTTACGCAGAAAATCTTAACGAATGAATATCTACAATAATCCCATTGCCTTATTGTTTCCTATTTAGTTCAGTAGCCAGCGAACAATTCAGGCGGCATTATTACGAAGCTGGGATTAAGAACAGGTTGTAAATCATGTTAAAGTTCTTTAAGTTTTATTTAGGGTTCACTTTTCGGTATCATGCCGGTTAAGTATCTGTTTTAAAATACCGGTTCCAAAATAAGAAATCTATATTATAATTATTCTATTTCATGATGAAGTTTTGACTTTGTTGTTAGCCGTGCATATACACATTGTGTTAGTGTGCGTAGGCTTCGGAAACGCGTCTGTCGGTACACGTATCTACTACAATCAAAGGGAAACCTAGATCGTGAAATAGAATAATATATATACAAGATTTTCAGGTACAAAGTCGAAAGGAAAAGCCTTTAAGGCGTTGCAGGTATTTAAGCTTTATTTCTCTTAAATCATTACTTCGACCGTAACATTCGACAAAGAAACGTATTACTGCATTCAAGCAAGTACCCTCGCATTAAAAATATTACTTAGTAACTGTCACTCCATAAATTCAAATAAGATGGAACTCAATACGTTCGGGTATCGGTGAACACCGTTAGATACAACGGTCGTAATAGGTTTCGATTTCATAAAAACGCAAAATACCTCCTCATTATCGATCTATTTGAAACCTATTCAATCATTGATTGAAGTAAATAATCTTGTAATTGGTTAAAAAACCAATATGCGCAAACTAGCTCTACTAAAACTGGTCCAGTGCTTAAAACTCGAGGCAACTTCGATAGTTAAATCATCAAAGACTCTGTAATAAGTGCTTGTTTTCAACCACAAATCAATTTTAATTGAGACAACTGCTGCAGTTTTCAATCGTATCGAATTCGTATCACAATACAGTAGCTAAATATTTAAACGTCACTCGATTTCAAGATGTCGTTAAGTTTCGGGGTGTCACAGTCGCGTTTATTTAAAGACACAACGCGAGACTTAATGGAATTTTAAAATCGAGCAGCGTTTTAGTATTTGGGCATATTTGTATTACAAAACATAGTTACATTACTGTCCGCCAGGGGCGCTGTTTATATTTTCAAATAATTTTAGTCGATGACGATACGAAAACGTAAGAGTAAAATTTGTGCTTAGGGCACTGGTAACTAAAAACTTATACTTCTAAATATATATCATAACATCAATAGTACGGAGCTCGCTGGTATCAAACTTTAACATAGCGAAATATATAGAAAAATTTTATAAGACCCCCTTTTAAAAATTTAACTACTCGAGATACTTAACAAGAAAATAAATTATAATTAATAGTTTATGTTGCCTTCTAAGTGTGTGCCTAAATTAATTATTTGAGTTGTATATTTAAAAGACGCGCTTTCGGCTCCATTATTAGACACCATATTTAATGTATACTCATAAACAAAAACATAAAAATCAATAGATAATAGACTCAAGGCTTCGTAGATAGTGCCGTGTAAATTTTGAAATTTACCATTAAATAATTTTATGTAACTTTCCGATAAGGTAGAACCTTAAACTTTTAAATAGGTATATTTCAGTAATGGACGACAACGCAATCTAAGCTCACTTTTTTGTTAGTCTGTTTGTTTGTCCAAATTTCGTAATCGAATTTAAGGTAACTTTCTGATTATGTAGACTTAAAACTCTAAAAATGGTACAGAATTAAAAACATAGTCATGAATTGTCGTCATTTTGTATTATAGTTTTGGATGACCAGAATCGCATGCATTTGCACATTCATAATCAGATCATAATCGATTTGACAATATGAATAAAAACTGATCTCCAATATTTAAATACATTGTAACAAAATTACGGTAGTAAAAACTATTATAATATCGCTTAATATCAAACTTTTAGCTCCCATTACTTAAATACGTTTTTCTAACGTCGATTTTATGAGCCGAATACGTGAAATTGTTTCAAGTAAGTTTTTCTTTAATGAGTTTTGCTACAGCATATTACCTATGGGTATAGAGTATATGTTTTGAAATATATTCGTAAATTATATTTTATAAATAAAGGAGAGGGTCCATTTCAGGCGCAGTCTATATACACTATACTGTAAAAAAGCGAAAAATTTAGGGATTTTATTAAAATAAAATAAAACAATAAATCAAACCAAATTACTTCTAATCAGTTTAGTTCTAGTCATAATTAGTTGTAGTTATAAAATTATATGTCAAATGTCTAACAAATGACTTCAGTGTTTGAGTCATGAAATAATGTAGGTAGTGTAATATGTTTTTGTTAATACCGCGCTTGTTTGTGTAGCTGTGAACTCGTGAATGCATTTATTGAGCTTCTTTTGGATTTCTTTGGGGATTTTGATTTCGTTTATATCGGACATCTGCAGAATCACATTTTGAATCATACCTACCAGTTTCGAGACATTTTTAGGCATTCTACATAATGAATCTACGTGGCTTTCAGTGATATTTTTTGAATGCAGCAGGTGCATTTCAGAATTCAAATATCTGTCAATAAATTGATCAATAACCTCATGACAGTTGACAGCTAACGTCAAAACGACATCAATTTGCCATTAGTGTTGCAGTTTTTGGTAAGAATAAAATATTAATATCATTGAAATAAAGGCAAATTGGTGGATTCGAATGACCAGAAGTGGTCTAATATATTATTTTGATTTATTTCCCTACTTGTACAAAACCAGGCCTACGCTTCATACAATTTTGGACCGTCTCCTTTAATGTTACAAAATATTCATTGTCCTTTTGGTGTATATTTTTTAAATTACCTACACAATTTCTAAAATATAAAAAATAAAAATAATTTGTCATTAGGTTAAAAACCACAATTGGCAAGAAATCAAAGGATATCAAGAAATAATATATAAATATACTCCGATAGGAAAAATATTGATTATATTGATGAAGTAAGGCTCTATGTTGTTAACTATGTTGCGCTAAGTGGTCACTACAATGATGTCAATAAAGAGTGTGAGCATAATTTGTCTATTATAGTTTCCCTTAGGAAATACTTATCGAATACCCGCTTCGTGCGAAATTTTTATAATAATGAGCACAATATTGAAAAAATATTTATTTTTCTTACTATGCAATGAAATACCTACATCTAGATGAGCTAAAATCCTATTATCCCCTCGTCTGCCGGCCGGCCATTTTGCAAATACGTCGCGTCTGCTAGGGCCTTAGCAGGTAATTTTGCGATATCGGCGCGTGGCGATTAAATTAGTAATTTCTCTAAAATATTGTATGGAAGCTATTTATAAAACTTATGTCATATGAATTGTTATATTATTTGCTATTACTCTGTAGATATCTTAGTTGAATACAACTTAATAGATTTTATTAAGCCAATTTCAAAGTTCGAAAACCAAATTTTTAATAGTATTTTGTGCATAATTTGTGAAAATTAAACATAAAAATCATTCTTTTATAAAATAAATGTAATTTATTTTCATCAATATACACTAATTTATAATAAAAAAGCAAAAAAACCACACATTCCTATATATTTTTACCTCAAAAGTTTTTTACAATCTTAACACATGAACGGCAACCCAAGCGTCGCACAAAAAATAGCATATATTGTTAGTTTTATTTTGAGAAATGAGCAAGTCAAGTGGCGTACGATAATTTTAACATTAAGTATGGCTCAAGTCCTTAATTTAGACAAAGTTTCATTTCTAAAAAGAATGTAATGTATTTTTAATCAACAATAGAGATAAATGTAAGGTAAGTAAGTATAACGACCGTTTATGTTCGAATATTTTTATAAAAAGGATACATATCCCTAAATTATGAATTAAAAACTGTTGGTTATTAACCCTTCTATGTTTGAATAGCACCTAACTTCACTATTTGTTCGATTTAGGAATAAAAATAAGGACAAAAACCGGGACGGGTGACCACATGAAAGTGACGTTCGCATGCGACTGCTACATAGGTGTTTATTCGAAATTTCTAAACATTGTAGTACTTTAGTAGCTTTGTATCGCATCCTCTTTCTTTGGTTTATAATTTTCTATAAGTAAAAGTGTGATAAAAATCATTGTCGCTGGTTATTTTACCCGCCAAATACGCAGTCGCGGATCGGCCAGAATCTGGTCGCTTGCCAGACGCGCGTAATTAACCATCGGCCAGAATCTGGCCGGTCGCCACACAAGGGGTTAAGAAGCGGGTATGTGAACATTTATCTTTAAATCTAATATAATTATGTATATAAGACAGAAAAATGCGACGGAGATAGTATTAAGACCCTTATATACAAATACAAAGAAAATCATATATAAATAGAAGTACATAATCACATTAACAAGGAGTGTTTTCGATTATATAAAGAGATACATCTTTTTTACATGTTTATTTAATTATACAACAATATTATGACAAACATCATTATGGACAAAATGCGTTCAAAATTTTCATTACTCTACCATAATCACGTTCTTACCTGTATCGGAACAATCTTTGCATAAAATTATCATAAAATTATAAGTGTAATACCGGCAACAAAAATTGTATTTCAACATTTGGTTTAACTTAGCCTCAGCATACGTTAATTAACACATTTAGTTCAAAATGGGTAAATTCAAAATGGATAAGGCTCAATTCAAAATATTGAAGATTTAGTAAAGATAATGTTCTTTTATTTGTGGACTAGTGATGTGAGCCGCCTTACACCTGATTTTGTGGAAGTACCCTTTGTTTTTTTGGTTTGTTCTTTGACACCTCTGCAAAATAAAGTAATATTTGCCAAATTAGTGCTTATAGATGTGCGTAGAGATAAAAACTTTTTAGAAAAAAAAATATTTTGTTGTGAGACCAATTTTCCAATGTGCTTCTGACCAATTTTAACCACTGCTACAACTCGTTTACTATTTCAAAAAATGTCGGATTAATAAAGAGAACAAAAGAAAAATCTAAAGACGTATAAGTATACTACAAGACCGGCAATTTAAAACAAAAACTGTGTCACAGCTGTAAATCATCCAATCAAAAAAAAAAACCGCGGGCAGGTAGCTGACATGATAAATATTCCACGCAGTTGTATATTCATTTACGACTGTTACTCTTTTAAGGCAAATACGAAATAAAATTACATACTTATCTAAAATAAACTTCAGATCACGTTGACAAAGTGCGCACATAAATAATGACATTTTTTTTAAACAATTGAAACAACGTCGGTGTCAGATTGTCGATTGCTGTTTACAAAACAAAGAACTAGTCTTTTCGCCCGCTCACAGTCGACTAAAGCAGTTACAGAGAATTGTCCGTAAGTTAGTGCGCAATGTACTAAGGCCGCAGAGCCCATTTAGTAGTATACATAGAAGTCTTTGGAAAGATTTTTATAGGATAAGGGCGATAAACTAGCACACAGTCCACCTGATAGTAAATGGTAGCTGTGGCCATAATGCAGATGCGTTGTCACCCCTGAGGGCTAAGATGAAATGCCTCGTTTCCAGTAAAGATGGTGTCCGGTTCTCTACAGTCACCATACGAAACACAGCAGCGTATAGCTGTTATTTCACGCTGGTATTCTGTGAGAGCGTGGTCCTTCCCCGGTCGAGCCGACCCATTCTTTCTTCAACTATACCAGTAATATAGTTGTAGCATGGCTCTATCACATATACCACATAGATCCATTCATTTTGTATATTTTTACTTTAAATGATAGTAATGTTACGGATTTTAACACATTTAATTTTGACTTTTTTACATGGTAAAGCCATGCTACAATTAATATATTACAAATAAAGTTGCAGCACGAAAGGGTCGGCTCCGAGCGTAAAATAGTAGCTTAATGTGTGTTTTTTATGGTGCGTGTAGAGAACCGGAGACCCTTTACACTGGAAACAAGGCATTCCATCTTAGTCCATACGGGTGACATCGCATCTGCATTTTGATTCATAATCAATGATACATGTAGATGTCTATGGGCCACAGCAAATACTTAACATCAAGTGGACAGTGTGCTCGTTTGTCACCTTTATTGTTTTAAAAAAAAAAACATTAAATTCCCGAAGTTTCGGATGCTTTACAGCACCCATGGTCACGGGGGACTGAGATATTTGACATCTTGATGTCATTGTTAGCCCAGCTACCTTCAGTTTTTGACTGTATTATAAAAGACAAATATGAATGATTATTTTTACATTTTGCAAAATTGAAAAAAAAAATCCATTAAAATTGACTAGAAGAACTATGGCTTAACAAACAGATGTGAAGATTGTTAAATCAAGATTGACAATGAGAACTTTATACGACTTACAGATATCGGGTGAGGTCCTCAATATCAACAAGCATGGAGTCCTGTCCCATGTGTAATTCGTCACGCGCCATCAATAGCTTTACAAGTGTGTCGTTCAGAGTCTCTATTTGAGAATGTAACTCGTTTACGATTACCTGCAAATTACTCATTGTATAGTAGTATTCATATAGCAAGTGATAATGTACGAGAATCTTTAATAACAATGAGATTCTATTGGCCTGGTAAGTCTATCGAGTTTTACAACTATGGCAAAATTCTCCCTATGAGGCAATTTATGGGAGAGACCTTCGTTCAGCAGTTGATTTTTAAAGGCCGTAGTGAATTGATGAATGAATGATATAATAAACCTATTGTAATAAGAACAAAGCCTTATTACAAGTACATTCAAAGATTCAAATACAGTCATATTTGTATGGCTACATTGTCCAAAAAAAAAAGTTAAAATCTACAATATCCGTTGTTACTGAGTGTTGTACTGTAGAGTGAGTATGATTCATCAAATCATTAGCTGTGAAGGTTGTGCACCTTAGTAAAAAAAGGTCTGCATCAACATTTTAATTATGGATGAAAAAAAGGATTTCCTATTTTTAAAATATAATACGGTCAAATGTATTTGGTATTGGCCACATGTTCAATGTTAATAGCTTTAAATTTAAATGTTGATTAAAATTTCCATCTTATAAATTTTGTTACTTTACAGTTTAGAATTTTATTAAGCAGTATTGATTTACAAAAGTTTTTGGTATAACATTCTTCTTATGATGAACATATTTTTTCTTATAAATTTAATTCTGCTTTCACACTAACATAATTGAACTATTAAATTAACTAACATTTAATAAAATAATCTTCTGCCTATATAAAAATTGTTTGTCCACGATGAACTCCGAAACCACTCAACTGCTTTAATGAAACTTTGTAAAGGTGTATTGCCTGCTCTAACATGTTAGTTAGGATATTTTGTATCCCGATAAGTGACCCTCAATACTTTTTATTGCGACAAAGGACTACAAAACTATTTAAAGGTCAAAGTGCTGTCGGAAAGGGCAGAACAAAGTCTACCTGACCATAAAGCAACAGCCTATATATGTGCTGTTTTAGGGCTAGGAAGTGTCAGCCGCGCTGCCCCAATGCGTGTTGGCGGACTTCACATGTCTGAAATATATTTATACTGGATGACCTTTTTTACCATCTGGAAAAAAATAGGGTGTAACATGTAAATGGAGTAGAAGGCTATGGCACTGATATTTTATAATAAATAAAAACAAAAACTTTGAATTACATGAATGAATGAATTAAAATCTATCCAAATTCAAATCATATCCATACTGTAAAATTAACAGCGCGTGCTTAGCATCTGAGCTACCCACGGCTCTTCCTGGCCAACTAGTACAATATGTATATTACAATATAAAAAAATTATTAAATCGTTTTTATAACAAATAGTATCTTAACAATATATTGCTATAAATTACCTGCAACTGCGCAATATTCATGTCGGTGAGTAACTGACGTGAAACGCGACGCCTGTCAGGAGCTAAAGGCGCATTTGCTTTCTCCATGCTACGACGAAGCATTTCTGTTACAGGCGAAACTGCACGACTCCGTCTTTCTCTCTGTAAAAAGTCAATCCAGGGAATATAAACACTTGAATACTTACTAAATCATTTTTATATTTTGTACATATTTATGAAAATACAGGGTGTTAGTGTAAACACCGTTATCCATGAAACAGCGGTTTGTTTCACTTATAGAATATTATGAAAATTAATTTTTTTTTTTCAATTTGGAGTATGAAGGAAAAGTTACATCACAGGTTATGTGTACCTATTGGGGTTTTATTGGAATGTTGTGTAGGTAGCTAGCGTGGGCGGTGAACTTTACAGTGATTAAGTCACTCGGGCGCATAGGGTATCCATGAATTTACGGACAGTGTCGGACAGAAACTTTTTAAATTTTATGAAAGAAAATAGCGTTTTTTTTTAATTCGGATAAATAATTTATATTAAAGCCTATGGTTTTAGTGACAACGCTGTTTACACTTACACCATGTATATACCCACACTATTTGTTGTTGCACCAGTGTTGTATTGAGTCAATATGCAGTAAGCAATCTAGGTGGCAGACTACTCATAAAAGTAGAAAGGGTACATGTCCATAATATTATGTTAATTAAGTTGATGGGCTATGACAATATATTATAGGCATTTATTTGTACAAGTTGTAATGCTGGTACTAATATTAATATTCATGATAGTGTAAGCTCAACTCGTTCAAATTGCTTTTCTATTATTAACAAATGAAATTACACAATTTTTAGTGTAAATTCACTATGTGGCTAGAAATGAAACCCGGTACATGAGAAAAATATTACAAATTCATAGAATTTCAACTCTACTGATGTCCTCCAGACTGAATTTCGGTCATGGCAATCAGTCTCGTAAGACTATCCATCTGCACATAACAAGATTATAGTGCTCGGGTGTATGCAGAAGCACAGGTGCACTCTTTATACACTCACTCTCATAGTCTAATGGGATATATGAAGGACCAACAGTTTTATGTGTTTTCCGAGGCATAAGAGAAATCACAGCCAACTAACTGACTGTGGAGCTGTTACTTTACAAGTGCTTCATTGTGATGACATTCTCCATAGAATAAAATCATGTAGCATAATTGGTCAACAAACAGTTATGTTATAATAACATGGCGAATCCAAAAGTCATATACAAAAGAAAGTATCTGTTGCTCGATATCTGTGTATGAATTAAAAAATTATCAAATACTGATATGAGTCAAATTGAAACGTCTCTTTTTCAGCAGTCAATCTAAACCCTTTAATAAATTCAATTATTACAATATAATTGAAACACTATTAAGTCTTGTTTTTATAGGATAAGGGTGACATACGAGCACACAATCCACCTGATGGTAAATGGTTGTTGTGGCCTGACGACGTAGACGTCTACAGATATCCTCGATTACAAATCAAAATGCAGATGCATTGTCACCCATGAGGACTAAGTTGGAGTGCCTCGTTTCCAATAAAAAATGTGTTTCTCTAAACTCACCATTCAAAACACAGCAGCATTCATCTGCTATTTTACAATGATATTCTGTGAGAGCGTGGTTCTTTCCCGGTCTAGCCTACCCATTCGTGCTACAACTATACCAGTAATATAACTACAGCATGGCTCTACCATGTAAAAGTACTAAATTTTAACTTTCCTCACTAAAACTATTAGATACATAATCATGTGTTGCAAAAATGCTGTTGATATAGATTCACATTCAAGCCACCAGCAATACACTGGAGTCCACATTCCCCGGATGTACCGCACGTGTGACAGAAAGTATGGCTCTCCTTTGTAGAAATTTGGCAATGTTGCATAAGTTACGCCTTCTAATGCAACATTTTTTTCTCACTTAATTTTTTACTATCTGTGAATTTATCTTTTGAACTATTCCTTTGTGGTTTTTAGTATAAGTTGTTTCAAAGTTATTCATTGGCAAAGTGTTGATAAATATATAAATGTTATGAAACTTATGTTGAATATCTGATAATGTGATACTGAATATTATGCATCTTTATCAAATTTTGTTCTTGTATCTACATTTATTTGTTCCCCATGGAATTCCACAAGTTTTCAAAACATGTTGACAAGCTTTAACAACTGCCAGGTATTGTTAAATTTGCCCCTATTTACCTATAATATATTCTACTTAGAACAACATTTGCAAAATGAATTTTATTAATCTGTCATTTTATATGTAATAATAAATCACTACAATTAAGTTTTTCTTGTTTTAACAACTTATTACATAAGTATTATTTTAGATAAACATACCTCCATCTGTATATGAGCCAACTCCTTTGCTTGAGCCAATGCTATCCTGGCCTCAGTTTGTAGTTTTGCTTGCAATGTATAGAAATCAGTCTCTTTGACATCAATTTGGTTTAATGATTGTGTGGAAAAAGATTTTGATGTTTTCAGTGTGAAAGACGATGGACGCAACTTAGGAACTGAAAGAGTATATTCACAAGTTATAAATTAATATATCAAAGCAGATTGCGGGTGTTTGAAAAAAAAATGAATTCAAAGAAGCTAAGGTAAGACTTTAGTCTTGGTTAATGATAGTAGTGAAAGAGTCCATCACCCATTTTCATCCCATGGATGGAAGAGGTGACTATAGACACTTCCCATGCCAAACAAAGCACATTGCTTCTAAAAGATGGCAGCATAACCACCTCTTTAATCATAAGAATAAAAATATCTAGACCACCAACAGAGAGCAACATTAAAGATGAATAATGTAAATGCCAATCAGTCTGCCAAGTACTGCAATTAAGGTAAATACTTCCAAAGGGAGAGGCTCATGCCCAGTATTGGAATTTTGTAAATTGAATAAGAAAGAGAAAAGGATAAGCACATTTTCCATTTCAACAATAATATAAATTAATTATAAAATAAATTCAGAATAACAATAAACCTCTTTTGTTACTTAATTACTATAGTTGATGTGAGTATTGTGTTCATAAATTATAAATATAATAAAATTAATGTATCATATAAGACAATGGATAATGTAATGATTATTGAATGATAAATAGTGACCAACAATGAAATCTTTATGACTGTAATGTTATGATAAAAAGCCTTTTTACTTACCACACTGGACTATACTACTCTTTTCATTTTTCAAAATGTTTACTGATAGTGGTCTTGTTTGATAGGGATGATTGCATCCATTATTGTCTAAAGTACTTGAACGGGATATACTTTTATTACAATTTGAGGTTTTCTCTATGTCAGAAGCTTGATATTCATTATCTGATGCTGTCTCATTCATGAAACAAATTTGTAGGTTCTTCCCTGTATAACCACACCAATACACTTAGTTATCCCACAAAATGAACAGAATGAAAATCAAACATGTTAAAAATGATATTATGATGCAAGGAAAGAGACAACCCAGGTGAAAATTTATAATCGTTTGGCAGAAGGGGGGAGGAAGAGTGGGGAGGGGTGTCCCCTACACTTTTACACCACTCCCATAAAAAAGGTAAAACACCATTCTTGAAAAAACTTAAAAAGAATATCCCATAGACCTAACTTCATAATGATACCATCTATCTTTCTCCAGTAGGAGGGGGAGCGGTGACCCCTATCACAACTGTAAGGATTTCCGGGGTTAGTATTTTTAAGCAGTAAAAAAATAACCACAAAGACTGTGAAATGAACTAAGCTGCACTTTGCTCCCGCCACAGTCTTCAAGCCTAACTCAACTAAAAGGATTTCTGGGTGTAAAGTATGTAATAATCATTTCTTTATTGTTTGTAAACATAATTTATTATGAGAGTAAAGACCACAGAAGAATAAAAATATCATAGAATTATAATAATGTGACACTAGACTTTGACACAATCTTATATAGTTGTAGCACTTACACAAAATTATTTGTGCTATCCAGCTATCACAGTAATATTACATTTATTTTTCCATGTTAATCCTATTTTTAGGATATAATACTTTTTTATTTTCTGGAAAAAAGTGCATTACCTTTAAATGCAAATGGCACTGTTTATAATTGGGGACCAAACCTTTACCAAATACAACACCTTGCTCTTCCAAATTCCTGCCAAACAATTCTAAATCCGACCCTGCACATTTGAAGAATGTGAAGCCAACTTAAGAAGCTCAGATACATTTTTATATAAATGAAAAATGATATAAAATATCACACTAATCAAACGAAGTACACTCCAAACACTCCCAAAAACACCTAATCCACACAAATTAAGGAAAGATGTAAATGTTACCATTTTGTAGACGTGAATGGAGACTCGGTTTCTTGCCAGGTCTGTCTGTGTGTCCTAAACTGTAATATTCATCATTATCAGCACCCATTGCCAATCGTTTTCTAATTTCTTCTCTGTCATTGCGTTTCTGAAAATCCAATATAACACTATAAAATGTACAATTTTTATTCATAAATATCACAATAATATAATAATTCATACTTTATCTGTTATAGTAATTATTTTTGTAAATTTGTCTAAAATATTAGGATTACTATCTGTTATGATAGGCCAGGCTATTTCAGTTTTCGCACATTCAGCTGACCCTAGGGCCCTAGGACTTAAAATTGGATCATCAAAATAATTGTTTTCTAACGTAGCATTTTTATCAATTTTATTGAATTTCTTTTGGAATATGTTTAAACGTCGTTTATAGCCAGTTTTCTCCACTTCCACGTCAGATATTTCATCAGATATTTTACTAAATTTTCTTTTAATATTACATATGAACCCTTCAAACATCTTCTTAATACTAATCAGTCTTATATTTTTGGCAAAAATCTATTATTATGGCACAACTTTATTTAAATTTTAAAGTATTTCCTTATGTTATTATTAAAATGTAAAATAAAAATTGAAAATGTTAAAAACAAAGAAAAAGCAACAATCTTATCCTGTCATAATTTGACATTTAGGACAAGGACAATTCACGACAATCTAGTGTTCTATTTTCATTTTGTGCTTTATGGTAAAAATTGATAAACTCAAACAAGGACTGAACTACTCTCATAGGGAGAGTACCTATACAAAAGACAAAAGTATAATATTATAGGCACTAAGATATGAAGACAACTTACAAGGCAACATATATTATCGACGGATTCATGATTATCGTATGTAATGGTGTATAAGTCCAAAAGAAACCTAGTATCTTTTTTATAATGTCTTTGTTCCGAATTAAAATACGGCATTGACGCCATCACTTAACAATTATAAAGTAGAGTTGTTTGTTAGTAGCAAAATAAAGAATACGTCACACAACGTGCACTGCCTCAACCACAAGAAATGGCTTGTGAATAAAGGCAATCGACATGCCTTGCGCCTACGCTGACGTTGAACCACCGTAGAAAGCTGGACTTGCTACATAATGGCAATTATACTGTTATGCGTACAACAAACGAATGAATGTGAATGTGTGTACATACTGTAATAGTTACCGTTACTTTTTACGCGCTAAAATTTAAAAGTAATCATATTATATATTAGTGTAATACTCGAACAAATTTTAACGTCCCCCCCCCCCTTCTTTAAAAGCTTCTTTAAAATCTGCTGATGATAAACATAAGTAATATAAATATATAATATCCGTAATCAGCTCTTTCTAAAGGTTAGACCGTTATTAAATATTTTATAGCGTGATCGTCTTAGTCCTTGTATTACGTTGTGTGTTTGTTAAATAACTTATTTCTTTAATGTGTCCTTTAGAGAATAATAGTAGTGACCAATAATAATTTTGATTAATGAACCCCATTCATGAGGAAAGCACTCAAAAAAAGAAAAAGAACATTAATATATCCCTTCTCACACTTACCCGTCTTTCAGCTTCCTTTGCGGCTTTTAAATGATTTTCTATCACATCTAAATCTATTTTGGGTAGTGCAGTTTCTATGTTGTACACATCGAAACTTCCTAAAAGAAGTAAAAAATTGAATGACTGTAATAGAAGTAAAAAATTGAATGTGATTAACTATGGCGTTGCAGGGAGGGGGAGAGGAAGGAGTTAGGAAACAATGGTCCCTGGCGGCAGATTTAAAACAGCAGCATTTGGGCGAAGAAAAGTCATTTCCCGAAACTTTTTAACGATAACACCAAATATCTCAAAAATCTAAATTTTTCACTCCTGAATACTTTTGAATTAAATAGAACTACATACTATTTATTCTGTGATAGAATGATCACCGTAACACTGATTTTTTTTTTTGTAAAAATAGACATAATCTACTTATTGCTAAGGGTAGGGATGAGTATAAAGTACAATATGAAGGGTTATTTTTAGAGTATCCAAATTTTATAATTAAGTTCAAATATATAGGTAAATAATGATATGCCGTTATTGAAGTTTTTTAAAATCCGTGTACATAAGACATCTACTTTTATTTGAAATTCTCCCAAATTGAATGTGATTTATGGGAAACAACTACGCGCATGCACGCTCATCTGTATGTGTTCAAAACAATTCATAACTTTTTACCGACAGAGCGGCCCTTACGAAGCGAGCGGCCTTATTGATTTCATTATATCATATAGATCATACTAGAATCCTACAATTCTGCCGTCTATTTCTGCTTTATATTTCTATTTCTGCCGCCGAGCACCAGTGCGTGCACTGTGTGTTAGTTTGAAGGATATAGAGAGGTCAATAAAATTACAGGCTGTGATGTCTTCTTTCTTTGTTTGAAATCATCAGGTGGTTTGTTAGTACGTTTTTCACATCAGCTGTATATTAAAAATAACATTAATAAATAATAGAGCTGAATTGTAAAAAGTTGATGCTCCGTCTTAAAATTTAAGAATCTAATAAAGTGCATTACTCATAAAATTATTTTCCAATTCTATAGCCAAAAAGATATTAACACGATCTTACCTAAATCGTACTCCTTCGCGCTGTCATGTTTACGGACGGATGTCGCATTTTTAGGATCTGGTGACTTTATTGCAGAAGCTGCATGTCGGTCGTCAAGTGGCCTCTGTACACTGAAGTGGTATTGCATAAATATTTCCATTACCCGAAAATATACTAATTTTATCAAGTAACTTTATTTACGTCTTTTTAAAAATGGTGTAAATATCGATGCCGCAGCGCAGAGGTTAAATCAGGCAGTTAATTGGATGGTTTGGATGTTAGTTAAATGCTAGCAAAGTTAGCATTCAACTAAATTGCTGACACTTTTCGGTAGTATGAAATAAGAGTGGAAATGTATGGTAAGGTACTAATTGAAAGGGTCATGAAAGAAACTGATGGAAATAATTGGGATGTGGAAGCGGGATTTAGAACGGGAAAGAGGTGTAAAGATCAAGTCTTTTCCATGCGCATGATCGTGGAGAAGTTTTTGGCCAAAAACCAAAAGGTTTTTGTGCGTTCATGGACTTGAAAAAGGCCTATGGCAGAGTGGACAGGGATGTGCTACGGCAAACACTGAACTCATTTGGATTGAGCGCTGGGTTGATACAGGAATTAAAGTCTCTTTATAGGGACTCTAGTGCTTGTGTTAGGATCAGCGGGGTCTACTCGGACTGGTTTGACATCCATAAAGGTGTCAGACAGGTTGTGTGGCTTCCCAATGGCTGTTCAACATATTTATGGACAGTTGTTTGAAAAATTTGAAAGTTGAAGAATGGGGATTAAGAACGGGTGAGTTAACCGTCAAATGCCTTTTGTATGCCGATGATCAAGTTATTCTTGCGTCGTCAGCGGCCGAGTTGCAAATGATGGTTACATTAATGTACAGATCGTTTAAAGAAAGGGGTGTGAAAGTGAACGCAATTAAGACGAAAGTTATGGTTTTTGAAAGAGAAGAAAGTAAAACGATATGTTAAATAAGAATAGAAGGGGAGTTGATCGAGCAAGTAGACGAGTTTGTATATTTGGGATGCGTGTTTAGCAGGGATGGGAAATATGATAAGTTAATGGGGCCCTACACTCTATTGTGAAAAGTCAGAATGTGTCAAAAAAAGGCACGTATGGCAATTCACAATGCTGTGTTGGTCCCTACTTTAAAATATGGTAGTGAAAGTTGGGTGTGGCAGAAGAAGCAAGAAAGAGTAGAATAAACGCAGTAGAAATGTGGTCGTTAAGGAGTATATGTTAGGGCTGAATTTGAATGATAGAGTGAGAAATTGTGTGATAAGAGAAGAGTGTGGTTTGCAAGATGATGTTGTGACCAGGATTAAGAAAGGAATGCTTCAGTAGTTTGCTCATGTAGAAAAAATGAATGAGGAAAGAGTGACAAAGAAAATGTATGTTGCAGAAGTGAACGGCAGAGTCAGAAAGGGACGTCCTAGGCGAAAGTATATCGACCAAATTTGCGATATATTGAAAACGGGTCAAATTAGGAGTACCCTTAACCAACGACCATGTATGCGTAGGTATATGGATGTGAAGGAGGCGAAAGAGGTGTGTCAGGATCGTGCCAAACGTAAGTTTGTAGTCTCTGCCTACCCCTTTGGGTAACAGGCGTGAGTTTTTACGTTATGTTATGAAAAATAAGACTTTCCAATAAAGATAAATCAAGACGCTCCAAGTATTACGTTAATATTAGTTAATCTTTCGTGGACTGCGCCCGCGATACTAATACTCAATTTACAAGATAGCGTCAGCATCTGAACTACGTTTACACACTTGTATGATGCTTTGTGCTTATGAATAATTTAATGGAATTAAAATTTGTATATAATTTTGAACTAAAACTTTCGCCAAACTTTTGATATAACTCTAAAACTTAAGAAGCTTATCATTTGCCTGAAGTTTTATTCAGAAACTTCGACTAAACTTTCTTTAGGGTTAGGGTTTCAATTCAATACCAATGTCATCCTATTAACTGGCTAGTTAAACAACCGGGTTGCAATAAAAACCAAAATATATACACCGCATATTATTATCGCGTTTATTTCGCGTTCATCATCGCGTTTCGTTAAGCTTACGAGTAAGAAAATAGTATAGTATAAAAAGCAATAATCGATAAATTACCGCAATTTGTAGTCAATCGATTACAAAATACTCTTAAATTTATGAAAATTGTATAGATACTAAATTGTATGCCTTAAATTGTTTATATTTTTATAATAACGCCTAACATATATTTTTAATTTATAATCTTTTGATATTATTAATAATAATGTCCTCCAGACCGAATTACGGTCACGTAATAGAAATAAGGATATCCGCAGTAATAGCTCGAAGAACTGACAACCGATGAGGAAAAAAGGTTCTTGAGTGACAGCCTCGTACATGTAAACGAAACACAAAATGGAGTGAGGACCTGATAATAGATGCAGGAATTTGACGGTTGAAGTTGGTTCAGGACCGTGTTTGTGGTATTCCTTGAGGGATCCTTGTTCATCAGTGGACTTGTGTGAAGCTCTAATGATGATGATCATCATGATGAAATCGAGATGTAGCCGGTTGCTTTCGTACTAGGCTGCACTAAAAGTATCGGGAATGGAATATTTCCACCGTTCCTGTCATATTAAAATCTTTTTAATTGAAAACTCCTTGGTTTTAAAAATCGAATACCATTTATTTATTTAAAAAAAGATTCTCAGTCTTGTCACAAGGTTTTGTCAAACTTGTTTAGTCGTTGAGAAAATGGAATTGACTCGAGAAAATTCAAGAGCGATGATTTATTATGAATTTCGAAGTGGTTTAACACAAAAACAGTGTTTTGACCGGATGATTTCTGCATTTGGTTATGAAGCCCCATCCAAAGCCACAATTTATCGCTGGTTTGCTGAATTTCAACGTGTACGTGTCAAGCTCAGTGATAATCCCCGTCAAGGTCGTCCAAAAACTGCAGTCACCCAAGAAAACGTTGATGCTGTGCGTAAGCTGATTGAGGAAGATCGACATGTGACATACCGCGAAATTCAGGCAACTTTAGACATTGGCATGAGTCAAATCTGTACACCTCTTTCCCGTTCTAAATCTTGCATGAACAATTAGGTGTAAAAAAGTTGTTTTCCCGATGGATACCGCATTCGCTCTATGAAGAGCAAAAAGCGGCTCGCGTTACTTGGTGCGTCAGAACTCTCGAAAGATTCCACGTAGGATCCGCAAATGCTGTATACAACATCGTATCAGGTGAGGAATCCTGGATATACGCGTACGAACCCGAAACAAAAAACCAGTCACGAGTTTGGGTGTTCGAAAATGAGTTAAAGCCAACAAAAATTGTTCGTTCACGGAGTGTTGCAAAAAAATGGTGGCCGCGTTTGTCTCCAAAACCGGCAATGTTACGACTATTCCTCTTGAGGCACAAAGAACGGTTAATGCAGAATAGTATGCTAGCATTTGTTTGCCACAGGTCGTTTCTGAACTCCGTAAACTGCAACCGCCGCATCATCCTCCATCACGACAATGCAAGTTCTCACACCGCTCACAGAACAAAAGAGTTTTTAGAGCAAGAAAACATAGAATTATTAGACCATCCGCCGTACAGGCCCGACCTAAGCCCTAATGATTCCTATACTTTCCCTAAAATAAAGAATAAATTGCGTGGACAGAGATTTTCATCACCTCAAGAAGCTGTGGACGCCTACAAAACGGCCATTTTGGAGACCCCAACTTCCGAGTGGAATGGTTGCTTCAATGATTGTTTCCATCGTATGGAAAAATGTGTCAAATTTCGCGGAGAATACTTCGAAAAGCAATAAATACATTTTTAAACAGTAATGTTGTGTCACTTCCTTGATTCCCGAAATTTTCAGTGCCGCTCTCGTTATATCTAGGTATAGTAAAGTTCAAATAATAATTTAAAAAGAATTATAACTTCTATTTACTTTACCAAAAATACGAAAGCACATAATATGTATTAAGTAATATCAGCTTACAGCTGGGCTACTGGGTGGACATCATATTATTTAAAAATAATTCGGACAAATTGGTACACATTAAGTATATCAATTTCTTTAACCTGGCCAACCACAACCTGCTACACTTAATTGTAGCTGGTTAAGCCCAGGTGAATCCACTTTAATGTTAGCACTTCGCTTTTTAGCCATAACAGATAATACTTTAAATGAAAAAATTTGACTTAAAAATTATATAATTTTTAAGTCAAATTTTCGAATAAAAGAAAACTTTATATAGTTTTCAAATAATAATGAATATACTTAATGATTTCTTATATTTACGCGAATATTTTACGGAGCTAATTTAACGGATTTACTACTTTTACGGAACTAATATTTAATTCTCAGCTTTGCCACGCTTTTAGGGCTTTTGCAGCACACGTGGCTATCGGGCACATAGTCAACCTGGGATACCTTCACCTTTTAATTATATATTTTGGGTCTGATCTACGCAGAATGAGCCTACAGTGTCTTGAAGTCTTGCAATGATATGCTCGGGTTTGATTTTTAATTATGGGATCCCAAGCAGATAGTAGCATCTAGGTACGGAATTTATGACGTACTTTTTCTGTACTGTAATTATGACATTTTTTTATCTTAATAGCCTCACGAATCATCCTTGGTATATTACGTTTGCCGGTTGGTAAATATTGACTAATATTCTTTATCAGTTGTACATACTATGTCCATATGGAAGCGCGCTTTAAGATGTAGTCAAACCAAACGCTCCACTACGTCCAATAGTGTGTAGTAGTCCATCAAAATATAAATTAGCTCAACAATTTTCAAAAATACTCTCCCCGCTGACATACATGAATACTCACAAAATAATGTTACTATTTTCGAAATAAAAGACCTACATCTTGTTAATAACGAATACGGTCAGATTTGATGTCTAAATAAGTGTATTTAAACGCGATAAAGTACTTAAAATTAGTTTTATTCAATAATTCTTTACATTTACTACTCGATTAGCATTTATTATTATTATTATTATTATTCCGCCATGTAGTGGCGGTTAAGAATATCCACTACCCCATATCTTCCCGTGGGTGTCGTAAGAGGCGACAGAGGGAAACAGGCAAGAGATGGGCAGCAACATCTTCCTGATAACAGCAACTGTACAAAAAAAAACTGCGGTTGCCAACCCGCTCGCCAAGCGTGGCAACTATGGCAATATGGGGTATATTGCCATGAAGAATTACACAAATAGACGGCCCCCAGTCCCCGGCGGCCCCGCTATTCCTGGCTACGGTGGCGACCATGGTAACGACGGGGCAGGGGGTGCTAAGAATCTCCGGTGGAGGTTCGGTTACCACCTACGACGACTCGACCTGGCAACATATAACGCACGCACCCTGAGGACTGACGAGAAGATCCTGGAGCTGGAAGAAGAGATAGACAAGTTGCGCTGGAATATTATAGGATTATCCGAGGTCCGAAGAGAGGGGGAGGACACGGTGACTCTCGAATCCGGCAACTTGTTCTATCACCGGGAGGGCGACCATCTGTCCCAAGGAGGTGTTGGATTTATCGTCCACAAGTCTCTCGTTAACAACGTTTTGAAGATTGGGAGTGTATCGACGAGGGTTGCGTACCTTGTACTCAGAATCATCAAACGGTATTCGTTGAAGGTCATACAGGTTTACGTGCCAACGTCGGAACATCCCGATGAGGAGGTGGAGGAAATTTATGAGGACATTTCTAGAGCCATGCATTCCTCCAAAACTCACTATACGGTGTTAATGGGAGACTTCAACGCAAAACTGGGCACAAGAAAGAACGGTGAGCTGAAGGTAGGAAAATTTGGGATAGGGTAACGGAATGCAAGGGGCCAGCAGCTGGCCGACTTCACGGAGAAAGAGGGACTTTTTATGATGAACTCTTTCTTCCAGAAGCGGCCCCACAGAAAGTGGATCTGGTCTAACCCCGACGGTTCAACAAAAAACGAGATTGACTTCATAATGACGACCAGACGCCAACTGTTCAGTGATGTCTCAGTGATCGCAAGGGTGAAAACTGGCAGCGATCACCGAATGGTTAGAGGCACACTGAATCCAAACGTTAAGTTGGAGAGGTCTCGTCTAATAAAGTCAACGCTCCGTCCTCCTCGTGCTCTAATCCAGAATCCCGAAACCTTTCAGCTCGAGTTACGTAACAGCTTTAAGTGCCTAGATGATTGCAATGCAGTGGACGATATGAATGACAAGCTCGTGGAAACTGTCCATGCGGTCGGAGCTAAGTTTGCAAGACCCGCCGCAGAAGAACACAAAAACTCTCCGATCACACTCTTAATCTCATGGCTGTTAGACGGGAGATGAAGCTGCAATCGTCAACAGATTTGACAGCATACAGGCAACTGAACAGACAGATCTCCAAATGCATGCGGCGAGACTTACGCAACTTTAATGCTGCTCGTATTAAAGAAGTGATCGAGCGGAACCAAGGCTCCAAAGTCTATGCTCTGTCTGCCAGAAAGAGCCCACTGTCAAAGCTGAAGATTGTGTGTGCGGCGATTTGAGTGAGATTGAGAGGTTCTATGGGCAGCTGTACACATAATCGTTGGAGCCACACGCAAGTGTGAGTAACGATCCAAGAGCAAGTCTTATCCGACACTATTCCGACGACATCCCGGACGTCAGTCTGAGCGAGATTAGAATGGCTCTCCAGCAATTTAAAAACGGTAGGGCCCCAGCCGAGGATGGAATTACAGCGGAGCTTCTGAAAGCGGGTGGAACACCGGTACTTGAAGTCCTTCAGAAACTCATCAATTCCGTCCTCCATGGTGGCACTACTGCGGAGGCGTGGAGCAGAAGTGCGGTGGTCTTGTTCTTCAAAAAAGGCGACAACGCTCTCTTGAAGAACTACGGACCGATTTTCCTTCTGAGCCGCGTCTACGTGCTGTTTTCGAGAGTCATTACGAATCGTCTCGCACGCAGACTCGACGACTTCCAGCCTCCCAAACAAGCCGGTTTCCAAAAAGGCTTCAGTACCATAGACCACATACATACCCTGCGGCAAATGGTACAGAAGACCGAAGAGTACAATCCGCCACGTTTCCTGGCGTATTTGGACTATGAGAAGGCCATTGATTCCGTCTATAATTGGGCGGTGCTACAGTCCCTTCAACCAAGGTTGTGCCAAGTTGACTGTCGGTATATCGAAGTGCTGAAGTGTTTGTACAGTAGGGCTACGATGGCTATCCGGGTACAGAACCAGAGCTTGAAACCTATCCAACTGCAGAGAGGTGTAAGACAGGGTGACATTATTTCCCCGAAACTCTTCACCGCTGCATTGGAAGACGTTTTCAAGCTACTGGACTGGAAAGGATACGTTATTAACATCAATGGTGAGTACATCACTCACCTTCGATTTGCCGACGATATAGTCCTTATGGCAGAATCGCTGGAGGACCTAAGCACTATGCTCAATGATCTCAATTGTGTCTCCCAACGGATAGGTCTTACGATGAACATGGACAAAACAAAGATCATGTTTATTGTCCATGTCACACCTATGCCGATAGTTGTTCGGAGCACTATGCTCGAAGTTGTTGACGAATACCTGGGACAAATAGTCCGACTAGGTAAGTCCAACTTCGAACGAGAGGTCAATCGACGGATTCAACTCGGCTGGGCAGCGTTCGGGAAATTACGACACATCTTCTCGTCAGGTATACCTCAATCTCTGAAAACTAGATTATACAACCAGTGCGTGTTGCCAGTGATGACTTACGGATCTGAGACGTGGTCCATCAATGCTCGCCATATGAGGACGCTCAAGGTCGCTCAGCGAGCTATGCTCGAGTTTATCTGCGTGATAGACTCAGAAATGAGGATATCCGCAGTAAAACCAGAATGACCGACATAGCCCAACGGATTAGTAAGCTGAAGTGGCAATGGGCCGGCCATATAGTTCGAAGAACCGATAACCGATGGGGAAGAAAGGTTCTCGAGTGGCAGCCTCGTACCGGTAGGCGTAGTGCAGGGCAACAACCCCACTAGATGGAGTGACGACCTGGTAAGATAGTAAGTCGATGGATGCAGGTGACTCAGGACCGTGCTTTGTGGCATTACTTGGGGAGGCTTATGTTCAGCAATGGACTTGTGAAGGGCTGTAATGATGATGATGATGATGATAGCATTTATTATTAGCTATTTGGGTTTATTAACTTACCTTTGAAAAGTGGAGTTTTTCCTAAATTTATTCGTAGAATAAAATTCCTGTTGGTTATGTCTTATATTATTTATATGGCATAAAGGATTTGACATTTTGCTCAAATCCGAATAGTCGGTTAAATTGTTTATTTCGTTAGAATTTGTATCTGTAAGTTTCGAACATTCCTTTACGTTTCCCTTCCACATTCGATCGCGTTCACGCATTTCATTTAATTTTGGTATTATTTTCCTTAATTCTGTACTTAACTGTTTTATAGTATTTTCTACATTGTGACTTAATGCTTCTGTGTCATACTCGTTTTCGTAAATATTGATATCGTCTTTACCGTCAGATAAAATGGCATCTTTTATTTTATTATTGGGATGATTATCTATTAATAAAAATGTAGGCCTGCTTAAATTCATTTCAGTTCTTGTATTTGTTTCATTATCTTTATTTATATCACTAAGTTCTTCGGTTTCTTGCTTATTATTTATAGCAGAAGTCACATAATGGTCATTATTTTCGCCAGAATCATATTGTGTTTCCACAAGTTTTTTTATGACATGATTTACAACATCACTGATATTATTTATTGTATTTTCTATCGGTTTCGCAAAAGTATCTTTGATATCTTTTCTTAACTCTTCAAGATCGTCTTGAATATTAATATTGTAGTTAAGGAGTTGTTTTATTTCATCTTCAATTTCCTTATTGAAATCTCCAATTATATCTTTTGTATGAAAATTATTTTCAATATCGGTACACGAGCAATCATAGCTCGTAGTTTCATTGTTATTATTATTAGATATAGTCTTTAAAAGATCTGGAATATCGTTTGGTGTTTCTTTAGTTTTCGTTTTAAAATCGCTTATAGACTTATTTTCTTTTTTATTGAAATCAACGCTATTATTGTTATTAAAGTTAATGTCTTTCTTAGTTTCTTCGAATTGATAACTTTCCTCAACTGTGTCAACTTCCAAATCATCGTCTGTCATTTCATTTTCTGATTGGTAAAATGCTTCTATGTTTGAAGAATAATCCTGTAAAAGACATTTGATTTAAAATAATAAATGTAATTCTAGCCGTGAAGCAAAATACACATTGTTTTTCAAATAAAAGTCTGCTTCAATCTGGAACAGTAGAAAGATGTTGAATTTTGTTTCTTATAAATTTTTTGTAGCATAGGGTGAAAAACTAGCCCACAGTCCACCTGATGGTGAGTGGTTGCTAAGGCCCATAGACATCTACATTTATCCTCGATTACAAATCAAAATACGATGCGTTGTCACCCGTGAGGGGGTGTTTCTTCGTTTCTTTTGGGGGGTTTTTCTACTGCGGTAAACGGGTGGGGGAACCTTTTTTTTTCGTCCCCGTTCGGGGGTTTCCTTTTTTCGTTCCTGACTCCGGGCAGCTACTGAGAATTTCTTGATAGAAAAACTCAATAATTGATTTTTTGGAACCCAGGACCTCATGATCAGCAGTCGCACTACTACAACCACTAGACCAACGAGGTAGTCAAAATTCGTTGGTACGCCTGTTAGTGATCTTATAATTGATTGATACTTGACAGATTGACGTCATATTCACACAATTTATTTGTTCTATGCATGCGATGGTTCATAGATACGTAAGGATCCGATGGGTGGTGGTCAAGTTTTTAATATATTTAAAAAAGTATAAATTTTATATATGTACTGTAAAAAGTGCAAAACAAATTCATTCAAACTCACCGTGCCACCTACCAAAAAGGGCAGCCAACATAGTACTGTGATGGCTAGTATACTATTAAGATAACTTCTGATAATATTTTGAATAAACTAATTTACCTATGTAGTGTTCTTATTTATAGTATTTTGAGTTTCCAAAATGCTGCCCACCCGAATAACGCCCGTTCTGGGCGTATATAATAAAAATATACTTATTATTAATAGAAAAGTTACATATTATTAAATTCAAAGAAGTATTTATTATAATTTTTAGGGAAACAAAAGTCTATGACTTAAGTCTCATATTAAATAATTTATAGGCAATTTAAACTACTAGAATTCACAGTACCTAGTACCTACATATTTACAGTTGGTTGAACCAAGGAGTTCGTTTGATGTGGGTTGTAACAAATTTCTATGGATTCTCTTATGTAGTGATTACGCATTTACGAGTACACTTCACAGGTTTCTCAAAGTAAGTGATATTTTACCTGTAAAGTATGCGCTAAATGTTGGAAGCCAGGATAATTAGGGTTTACAATGCCTCTTGGTACAGGGTGTAAAACGTTTTCAGACATCTCATCTGTCTCTGATTGTTCCAAAGCTTGGTTTTCTTCAACTGGTGTTGTATCAGTATATACATTTGTAGGAACTGAAAAATAATATTTTTTATTCAATTATTAACTTAATTTTTATTACGTTAATAGCAAAGCAAGCTAGTAGTTCAATTGATATCAAAGTGGCTAGTACATTTACATGGGCATGGGAAGGTTCGGATAAGCCTCTATATTTGCAAGTTCATTTGTGACAATATCTTCAGCCATGGAAGTACTTATTCTACTAGTTGCTTGACTAGTATCATATTCAATATGACGACTCCGTGGCGTAGTGGCTTAGCAATGAGTAGCTGCGCTGGGGGTCACGGGTTCGAATCCCGCACGGAACAAGTATTTTTATGTCCTACATATAGTTGTTCCGGGTCTGGATGTTTGTCCTTGTGCAATTTATGTTTGTAAACTGCCCCCACGATACAAGAGAAAATCTTAGTGTAGGGGTAACGTTTTTTAATTTAAAAAAAGTCTTTAACGCGATTGATAGATTTGAGTATTCGGAAATTGTCACCATAGTTGAAAATTTCATCATCACTAATTGTGGTCTGTAGGCCGCAGCATACACTTATTTTCAATCGTCGAAAGTTTTTGTTTGTTTTATGCGTAGTAAAAGTACATTACGCCTTACATGGAGTGAGAAACTGATAAAAGATGCAGGAAGTCGATGGATGCGACAGTCAGGACCGTGCTTTGTGGCATTCCCTGGGGGAGTCCTGCATACAGGTGCAACAGTGAACTTGTGAAAGGCTGTAATGACGATGGTGGCGATGATGATTGTGGTATTTCTATGGACCTTGTGCACTATGTGAAGTCTATAGTGTAGTCAATGTAGGAAAAAAAAAAGAAAACAGTCAATAGACGATAAAACCTAAACAAATAAACGTATGAGTAATTAAATGAAGGTAGCTTTATTATTTTTTTTTTTTGATTTGTTTTTATCTATTTTTGTACCTTTAAATCACTAAATGATATTTACATACTATTTCACTGATTGAAATTATAAGAAGTGCACAATGATTTTTGAAAAATACCCCCAATTCACTTGCCAAATTAGTATCAGTTCCAAAAAATTCAGAAAACAAAATTGATAATAGAAAAGTACATAATAATTATGTTAAACAACCACGTGTTACGGGACCTTCAAAGGATCTAGTCATATGTTTTAATTGCAATAAGCCGAGTCATTTCTCACAAGACTGCAGAAATTCCTCTAAAAATAACTCTGTTTTGACACTATCAAATAATAATTCTAAATGATATTATCTCTAAATGATATTTAAATATTATTTTACTGATTAAATTTATAGGAAGTGCACAACGATTAAATATTTATTTTATTAATTACCACTTTTAATTATGCTACCGGCCTGTCCCGAGTTGAATAGTTTTCCATACAAAATTTAAGGTAGTTGCCAAACACCGATGGGATCTAAAGATTGACAAAATTCTCACAATTCTCTCATTTTTTTTATAGTCGACTAAAAAACTAAATACCTGAGTATTAACTATTAAATTTTGACAAATTATTAGATATGTGGTACAAGCCGCACTAAACTTATAGTATTCTATGCACTAAACATTGCAAATTTAAGTCGACCATGAACAACGTCTGCATCAAATTGATTTTTTAAAGAATGTTCGACCACCCTGGATTAAATACTAAAAAAGAGCTTTTTTTACAAATTTTTTACAAAGAACAAGAGCGAAATTATTTTATAATAATTTTGTCAAATAGGAAATTTATATAACGTGTATATTATATTTTTCCAACTATATCTTCTGAATATTTTCAAGAAGGTAGGTAGGTATTTTAATATCACGTATATTAATTATTCTTGATTTCATAGGCTCTGAACCAAAAATACCCACTTTTGGGTTAGTGTATAAGAGGACATGGCTTGCTCTAAACGACACGGCGTCATTGAGTCTTAGAAAATTTCTGGTGCAAGCAGTGACGAAATCTCCCATGGAAACAGTGCGTAAATCCATAGATTCGTGGCCAGATAGATTAAAGTTCTGTATAGAAGCCAAAGGTGGTCATTTTGAATAGAATATTGTTTTTATTTTTTGCTGAGACTTTAATAAATATGTACATATAAGTTTTAGTAATATTATACATTACTTCATTAAAAATGCATTTTCATTTGTAACAGAATTTATGGCCAAACGGAAGTGGTTTATATGTTACGTAATAAAACAAAGTATTACTTAAATATTTGTTAGTTTCATTTATCCAGTAAATAAACGAAAAATAACTATTTATTTGTTAGAGTGGCCTTCCATGGTAGGTACACCCACCTTTAACGTCGTCGATTCCCGAAATCAACGAAGCGACCGACCGTACCGCCAAAATAGTAGCGCGAGCAATTCGCCGCCGCGTCTGTGATTTTCCGTTCGATGGGTGTTTGTGTAAGTAGAAGGAATCTGTCATCACATGGTAATAACTACGATATTTTAATAATTGACCTTCGAAAGAGCATGGCCTTCCATGGTCCACTCACCTTATTATATTCTTACTAGGATTATCAGTTATCAAATCAAGTGATCAATATGGTTGTTTAAGATTTTTAAACTCTAATATTATTATTTTTCAGAATGTTAGTAGAAAACTTTGGTAGAACAAGATTTTAACTTTTATTTTTTCGTTATCAATTTATTGTTTAAATGTTGAAAAAATTTGATTTCACCGTGTAATCAAGTGTCAAAATTTAAAGAAATTTAATTTAATTACTTTACTGAAGTACTTCACCGGCAAATTTTAATGAAAATTAATTTAACTATTTTACTGAAGTACTCACCGGAAAATATTAATGAAATTTAATTTAATTTAATTACTGAAGTACTCACCGGCAAAACTTTCACAATCTTTTGAAATATTTTCTTGATTGCCGTCCACTTTTGCAATTTTAGATTTCTTATTTGAACTTCTGAACTTATTGCTTTGATTATTGATTCTGTACTGTCTGTTACATACTCCCGTCTCGACAGTGACGTCAGAGGTGTGACGTAGCTCTTCAGGACTTGGCAGCGTTTTAGCGTCTGTGATGTCTTTATTGTTTATTAAGTTGTAAATGTTGTTGCAATTGAAATTATGACTGTCGTGACTTATATCGGTATTTTGAAGTTCAGTCGTGTTGTTCAAAATATGCCAGCTTCTATTGTCAGTATTTCTATGCGATGTTAGCCCGTTTTTGTTTGCAGCTGCTACGTTGCCGTTGTCAGAGCACTGAACAATCCTCATGATTTTCTGGAAAGATTAATTTCTATTGTAATACAAAATACAAAATTTTTCCTTAAATCGTTTTAGGCCTTATGTAAATAGGGCAAAATAAAAATAAAATTTAAAATTTTGGCCCCATTTTTTTGTCTTAAAATATACTTAGTAAAATTAAATTAACCTATCGAAAGATACCACAGAGATAGAGATAATTTAATTTTCTTTTTTCTATTTGTTTGAGTGGTACCTTTCATTAAAAACATGAAAAGTTTGAGAACCATTTATTACATCCGGCAGAAAGTAGACTAAAACTATATGATGAAAAGTTTTCCAAAACAAAATAGGGCAAAAAAGAGAGCGAATAAGGAGCCGATCTTAATAAGGTGATCGCTTTTACCGTTCTCTTTAAACTGTGCTTCCATCCTGTTTCTACATGATTAAAATATTTTATTGTAAGTTGTGTTTTATAAAATGTTTACGTTTATACTTACTTACTTATCTTCACGCACAATCCCTAACGGGGTAGCCAGAGAGAACAGATCGCCAAGTGTCACGATCCTTACATACCTCTTTTGCTTCTTTCAGGTTCATTAACTTCTTCATACATGCACGTCTAGGTATCCGAGTACTCTTGACCCTCCCCCTCTTCGAGCAATTTGCTCACATGGTCTTCGAAAGTTAGTCTCGGTCTACCTCGACACCTTTTAATATTTACTTTCGCTCTATATATTTTCTTCACCATTCGGTCTTCACTCATTCGTTCAACGTGCATTGGAGTACGCCCCTATCAATTTTTGTGATAAGGTCATCTTTCAATCCTGCCATATTGCGAATCTCTTCGTTTCGCTTTCGGTCGGCTAAGGTAACGCCACACATTTTACGAAGAGATCGCATCTCCACTGCATTCAACTTGCTTTTATGCTTCTTCTGGCATACCCAGGTTTCGCTGCCATATAACAAAGTCGGTACCAACACTGCATTATGTATTGCAAGGCGTGCACTCTTCACCACGCCTTGCCTTTTTACTAATGCATTCAGGGCACCATTGACTTTGTTTCCGGCAGCGACACGCCTATCCACATCTAAATCACATCTTCCATCCCGGCTGATAGCACTCCCCAAGTATACAATTTCATTTACCTGTTCTAGACATTCCTGTTTACGTTTATGTTTTATAAAATGTATAAAAAGTCGCGCTAGATTTCCTGCTGGTTCTTCCCAGGACAGAGATTTTTTTGTCGAACCAATTGTAAAGCTTAAATTACTTTCAATAAGTATTATTGTATTATAAAAGAATAAAAATTATTCTACTCTATTTTATCACTATTCCATTCTGCTAGTAGTACCTTATAACTATCACACAACAAGTCATACACGTAGAGTATAACAAGGAATATAAAACGACAAACAACTTTCACATGATACCATTACCAGAATTACACGGAAGATTTTACATTTTTCATTTTCAACTTTATGTTAAATAATACAAAAATCACGCGTGAATATTTTTCATCTAATAATATTCGTTCGAAGAAAACTAATATTTAAAATGAAGAACCCTGAGCTACTTAGGGCTACCTGACGGACTCGCGGTAAATTTCGCAATACGCTAGTATCCCAGGTTCGACTCCCGTCGGCAACAAGCAAATTGTTAATTACAATTTTAAGTTTACCACGTGCTCGGTAGTGAAAGAAAACATCGTGATGAAACCTACGTCTAAAAATACAATAAAAGACATGTATATAGAGTATATTATATCAATTGTTCTTTTTTTTAAATTAAGGTAGCTCTATCTGTTTGTAAAGTTTCATCACAATACGATATATATATATATATATATATATATATATATATATATATAATATATATTATTTTTGACGTGTGTGTGTGTTTGTGTATGGATGTACGTATGTAACGTAACACTATATAACCACTGATATAATAGGTACATGGTCGTTGCCGATGTATGAAGGATGTAGGATGTCTACGGACCACAGCATCCACTTACTATCAGGTGCACTGTTTACTCGTTTGTAACCTTACTAGTATAAAAAAACAAGTCAAATGTATGTAGCTTAGGACCGTAACTACATACGTGGCTACATACAAATATAGATTTCCCACTTCGCTTGCCGGTACGAGGCTGCCATTCGAGAACCTTTCTTCCATCTCAATTCCATTCTTTATAAGATGTTAAAAATATCTAAAAGTTTTGTTAAAAATTAAGATATTTTAAACAACCTTGTAAATAGGACGTGCGGAGGTGCAAACGCATTACGCTACCTTCCCCGACTCTTAGATGCATACGAGGGTGGCACTCAAAGTTCTTAGAAAATTAAAAACTGAGCAAACTAGCAAGTTATTAATTTTATTATATTAGTTTGATTATATACATATACTAGTTTTATTATATCTTTTCAAAAAAGTGTCCATTTACATCAATACATCGCTGCATCCGATGGAACCGATGAGAAAAGCAGTTTGCCCACTCGTCTTTAAGGGTTTCTTCAACGGCGGTTTGAAACGCAGTCACTGCTTCCTCGGCGTCCATAAAACGTTTTCCTCGGAGTATTTCTTTTATTTTCAGTAATAAATAAAAATCGCAAGGTGCGAGGTCGGTGCTATAGGGCGGGTGACCCAGTAATTCCACGTCTGACGTCGCCAAGTAGTCTATTCTTTCCTTGGCGGTGTGCGACGATGCGTTGTCGTGGTGAAGGAGAATCCTACTGCGAGGTCGTTTCTCTAGAACGTTTTCCAAGACAAGTGGCAAACAATTGTTAGTGTACCACTCTGCAGTAACTGTTTTTCGATCCTCTAAAACAGTTGTTGCGTAATCACCTGTCCTTTCGAAGAACGAGGCCACCATCTTTTTTCCCAAGCTTCGACCTCTCTTCACTTAAGTTGGCAACTCCTCGGAAGGAAACACCCAGACAGCAGACTGTCTCTTAGTTTTAGGATAATAACAATAAATCCAGCTATCGTTACCCGTAAGTATATCGACCATAGCATTTGAATCACCTCATAGAATTTAAACGATCATCTTTTTCTTTTATGGAATTAGGATGATAAACGAGCGCACATTCATTCTAATGTGAAGTGATGTAGCTCATAAACATCTAAATCTATCTTCGATTAAAAATCAAAATGCAGATGCGTAGTCAATCCTTGAGGCACAAAATGAAATGCAATTTCCATTAACTCGGCAACCGAATTCTAACAAGTGTTGTCACCTCTGAGAACTGAGGTGGAATGTCTCACATTCTGTACTGGCTCACTGACCTTCAGACGAGAACGAAATTGGGTAAGACGGTGGTCTCCACCCAAACGGCCACCTAAGTAGTAAACAAGTCCTACAATCACTATTTTAATTAATTTAGGTTAATTACTTAAATATTATTTTCAAAACCTTACTTGCCCAATGTAAAAACGCTTTCAGTATCAGGAGCAAGTTTTGCTGCATCCTTTTGCGGCATAGGCGTAGTTAAAAAAATAAGTCATTGTTACAAAAAAACGTAACAACTATATCGACATAGTAGCTGTCGTTTTAAACACAATGGATAAATGTATAGGTGACAACCAATTAACTATGAATTAAGTTACCTAGGCTTAACGACTACCACTGGTATATTAAGAAAGCTTTTCTGACTACGTTTGCCACAAACCCGGACTAAACATACGAAAAATTAGTTTATAAGTAAAACCCAGTAACGTTTACTTGAGCTTGTTTTATACCAGTGTTTTACGATGAACAAATTCTTTCGTTTACTATTCTTCTGTTCAGTTTTGTTATTAATTACTGTGTTTGTGTTTACCAATAGTAGGTATATCTTGTCGACTTAAATTATAGTTTCTAAGTATAATATTGTTTAAAGATGGGTGAAAACTTTTAATAGGCCTTCTGATTGTTATCTAATTTAACACTATGTAATATCAGCTGTAAATTTAACACAATAAATGAAATAAATATTTTTAATATGAAGGATATAAATACTATAATAATTACAGAAATTATTTATGTTCTATCAATTTAGTTTTAGGTCTTCCTATTTGTTTTTAACATGGAATTTTTATCCTTTTTATAAAAGTGTAAATGAGTTCGAGCATACCGTCAATTCGATTGTAAATATAGTTGAATATAGCAGCAGAGCCATTAATTTTCTAGGCTACAGGTGCATGTCAACTCAGAGGACGACATGCCTCAAAGTTTACTTTTATACTGACTTTTTTGCCCTTTAAACTGAACCATAGCAGGGAGCAGAAAAGGGTTAACAATAATAAAAATTACCGAAACATAATTATATTTGTATGTACGTAACGCTATATAAAGGCTGTTATTATTGTGGAACAAGCTCAACATTCCTTTTATAAGAGAAGTTGCACGCATCCTTAATCCAGCCTTAATCCGATAATCCGTATCGCCGTTGGTAAACCTTTCAGGTGGAAAATAACCGCTCAAATATCCTGTACGATACTGTTTAAATAGGAAGGGAAAATGTGCTACACTCGGCTTGAAGGCATCCCAAAGAAATAAAAACTGTATGTTATTTCGAACAATGTTTTTTTTTCTTTTACGGTTAAAATAAAAATAGTTCCTAACTTCCAAAATAATCATTTATTGGAAATTGGGTTTACTTATTTTGCCTTAATGCAGGTTTGTATTTCCAATGACGAAAACAAATGTGTATAAGACAGTAATTTATGAGTATAGCGTCTAATAGTTTGGATTTTTTGAAGGAATTCGAAGCCGACGAACGAAGCTCTCTAGTCAATATTGATTTCGATGCACTAGGGACGGTGAGAGCACTTGGTTTATCCTGGAACATAGAGAATGACATACTGGAGTACAATATTAAATTATTATAATTACTTTTTTATTATAATTGTTCCTAGTTATTATATAATAATAAAATATTTTCTACATTGAGTTAGATGTGCTACGTACTAGAGAAGCTATTCCAAACAAAAAATGTGCACTACTCTGTATCCGCACATGCGCGGGAAACAGTATAATCGCGCATGCGCAGTTGAT